GATCACCCCAGGATCGACCCTGTTGCTTGGGACCAACAGATCACCGCCCCACCGGCTCCCCTCCCGATCCTGCCGTGGAGAGGAGCGAAGAAAAGAGGCAACCGGCCCAAAGTCGCCCAGCCGGCTTTTCACGCCCAAGGCGGCACCAGACCTCGCCGTCTCTCGCCTTTCTACCTACAGCCCCGCTGCCTTTAACCACTAGACCATCCTGCCTCTCTCCTCCTTCTCCCCCCCCCCCCCCCCGATTCTCCCCTCTCCGTCTCCTCGCCCCCCCTCCCTCCCTCTCCGACTCCCTCCCTCCTCCCTCCCCCCTCCCGCCGGACAAAAGCAGCCTCCGAAACTCACAGCCGAACCTCCCGAGTTGAGAAATTCAAAATCCAGAAGAGTTGGTGGTGGTGGTGGTGGTGGTGGGAGGGGGAGTGGAAGGGGCGGGGCTTCGAGGCGAGGGCTGGGACGCTCCTTCTCACGTTGGCTCTCGCTCGCTCGTTCTGTGCGCCGCGCTGACGCAGACGCCGGGGGGGCCGCTCTAGGAAGCCGGGGGGCCGCTCTAGGAAGCCGGCGCGCTGCTCCTTCTTCTTCTTCTTCTTCTTTTTTTTTAAACCCCTTTGGCGGGCCGAGCTTCGGCCGCCGAAAGGAAGCGCGGAACCTTTCCCCGTCCTTCGACGACTTGCCCCGTTGTTCCTTCCACGCGACACGTTGCGGGCACGAGTTGTGGAAGGGGAGACCACTTGGTTTGCCCGTCCCCACAAACGTCATCTGTTGTTGTTTTTTTTAAAAGAATTTCAATCAGGGACCTTGGAGGTCATCTAGTCCAGCCCCCTCCTCCAGCAGAACACCAGCAGATACCATTATAGACAAGTGGCTGTCCAGCCTCTTTTTAAAAGCCTCTAGTGATGGAGTCCCTACGACCCAGAAAAAAAAACAAGCCAAAAAAAGCTAATGCAACCCTAAGCTGCATTAACAGAGGGATACAATCCAGATCAAGGGAGGTGCTAATACCACTCTGTTAAAGCCTTAGTAAGACCGCACCTAGAGTACTGCATCCAGTTTGGGTCACCACACTATAAAAAGATGCTGAGATTTTAGAACAGGTCTCCAAATTTGGCAACTTTCAGACTCGTGGATTGCAACTCCCAGAATTCTGGGAGCTGAAGTCTACAAATTTGGGGACTCCTACTCTAGAAAGAGTACAGAGAAGGGCAACCAGGAAGATTAGGGGACTGGGGACTAAAACATGGTTACAGGAACTGGGCCTGGCTAGTCTAGGGAAGAGAAGGACCAGGGGAGACAGGATAGCAGTCTTCCAATATTTGAGGGGCTGCCACACAGAGGAAGGGGTGGGGGAGGTCAAACTATTTTCTAAAAAACACCTGTAGACCAGACAAGGAATAATGGATGGAAACTGAACAAGGAGAGATTTAACCTGGAAAAAAGGAGAAATTTTCTGACATAACAATTCATCGGTGGGACAGAAGTTGCCCTCAGAAGTTGTGGGAGCTTCATCACTGGAAGCTTTCAAGAAGAGATTGGACTGCCGTTGGTCAGAAATGATGTAGGGCAGGGGTGTCAAACTCAAGGCCCAGGGGCCAGATCTGGCACGTGGGATGATTAGATCTGCACCCTGGAAACAGCAAAAGACTGGCCTGTGGGTGCCTCTGCTAGGAAAAACAGAACTCGGGTGGGCTGCACACAGCCCTCTTGAGCTCTGTTTTCATTGGCAGAGGGTTACTTACAGGAGGCCGTTGCAGCCGAAAACAGAGCTCAGGAGCCTGTTTTCTCTGGCAGAGGGCTCGGGCCACCACAGGCACCCCTGATACGAGTGATGTCGAGCTGACCACATCCACTCTGGCCATGCCCACTCCGGCCCTCCGAGGTAAAATACAATCCTGATGCGGCCTTCAATGAAATCAAGTTTTGACACCCCTGATGTAGGGTCTCCTGCTTTTGGGGGGGTTAGACTAGATGACCTACAAGATCCCTTCCAACTCAGTTATTCTGACCCCAGGACATTGCAACTGTCATAAATATGAGCCAGTTGCCAAGCAACTGGTTTTTGATCATGTGACCATAGGGATGCTGCAGCGGTTGTTTGAAAAACGGTCATGTCATTTTTTTTCCAGTGCCGTTGTATCTTCGAATGGTCAATATGCAAACTGTTGTAAGTCAAGGACTACCTGTATAATAACATTTATTTATAAGCCACCCAGAGGGGCAGCGATATGGGCAGCATATACATTTAATAAATACATAAAATCCTGTGCTATTTTTATAAATAACTCAAGGTGGTACATATACCTAATATTCCTTCCTCCTATTTTTCCCAAACAGCCCTGTGAGTTGGACTGAAAGAGAGAGACTGATCCAAGGTCAACCAGCTAGATGATTGAGATTCTCAATCATCCAGGTCACGTTTGTCCCAAAGATGCTTTTTCCAGAAGGCAACTGGACTTTCTTGGGTATTTGTTTTTCCTTTGAAAATGTTTCACTTCTCCAAATGGGTGTGGAGCCTTTGCACTACTCAGGTGACCCTGAGGATATAGACAAACTTCCAAGTAGCTTCAGTGACTCTTTTAAAAGAATACAAATGACCAGCTATCTGCAAGGAATATAAATCCTTCCATTCCCCACCATTCAGTCAGAGCTGAAGAATCTTCTTGGATGCAAAGTGAAATGGTTTTAAAGAAAAAGAAGAAAGTCCGGTTGCCTCTGGAAAAAAAAAAACACCTTTGGGACAACCATCCCAAAGTGAATCTCCATAGACATTTATTTGAAATAGTTTACACTCTAACAATACCTGTAATATTATTTAAAAATACTGCCTATCTCAGGCTCTTGGGAAGAACTTGATTGGGGATAAAAATATCACATCTAATGTAAACATCAGGCTGACTGTGCGACTCACCAACGGTAATAATAAGTGTATGTGGAGAATTGGGTTAGGAAGGGTTTTTTTTTTTGTCCATAGGCTTAATTTACAGCGTCCTAAATCTGAAAATTAACAGATGTTTGTAGGTAAGTGTAAGGATAGAGAAATGTAACAGTATTAGAAGAAACCTGTGAGATTTTTGACAAAACTGAATAAGCGGCGACTTTTAAAGGGAGACGTCAAAGTGAGGCTTGGCTTTTTTTTTTCCTTACTTTTTTTTACTGGACTTTGTTGTGACTTAGCAGTTAACCGGACTGAATTTTCCTTTATATATATATTTACTTTCTTATTCTCCTTCTTGATTCCTTAATTTTTTTAAGACTAGAGGCTCCCTTTGCTTATTTTTCTTTTTATATATACAAGTATATATTTTCTCTTCTTTTTAAATCTCAATTACGTTTTCCTGGGAGGAGGGGGAAAGTGAGAATTAAGAAACTTTGTAACTAGAGGCTTGAAAATATTTTACTTGAAGTGGAAAGAACTGTGAAAGACTCCTTCTCAAGGACATTTCAACTTGATAAGATAAGAGGGAAGAGCGTGGCAGAATATTATTACAGATGTTCTTCCGGACTTCTATCAACAATTTAACACTTGAAGTTTGGCTTTGAAGCTTGTGGAGAAGAGAGTCATAATAAGAGCCTTGGACAATTAAACACAGTGCAGTGTGTTTTCTTATCTTCTTTTAGTTGTGCTACCGCTCCTTACCAGCTTTACTGTAAACTTTTATTTTAGCAATATTTTTATTTTTGCTTTTTATTTTAAAGGGAAAGCCTCAGAATTTTTCTCCTTTTTCTTTTTTTCCCTTTTTCCACTGGGATTTTTGCTTTTTCCATCCATGTTCTTGGACTATTTTGGGTTTTTTTTATTATTGAGATTTTTTAACTGGATTAAGGTGTGAAGAACCTGAAGAAATTTTTCTTTTGTTTTTTTTATTATCATTGGGCTTTTTCCTTCTTTTTATTTTTATCCTTTATTGTGGATTATTTCATAATTGGATTAGGGTCCAGAAGAACCTGAAGAATTTTTTTTCCTTTTCTTTTTTCCTTTTTACCATTGGGCTTTTTACTATTGGGCTTTTCCATTTTGGATTATAATTGTCTACCTTACCAATTGGATTAAAGTTTAAAAGAATTTGAAGGTCTTGAATCGTTTAAAATGAGTCGGAAACTCATACCTTCTGGCGTCTCTACCTCTACTTCTGCCTCCCCACCATCTGGAGGAGAATGTTTAATCGAGAAGTTGTAAAATGGGGCAAAACTCACTTAACAAATTTCTCACTCAACATGAATTTTGGGCTCAATTGTGGTCCTAAGTAGAGGACCACTTGTACATTAAAATGATTAAAAAAAACCATGACTGATTCAAATCCAGCAGAGGATATTTGGGTAGATTAAACTCTCTCTTTCTCTCTCTCTCTCTCTCTCAATTCCTAGGTTTGGCAACTTAATACAAGTAGTTCTTGACTTACCACAGTTCATTTAGTGACCATTCCAAGTCACAATGGCCCTGAAAAAAGGGACTTATGACCATTTTTTCACACTTATGACTGTTGCAGCATCCTTCATGGTCACATAATCGATCACGATGCTTGGTAATTAACTCATATGCCAGGATTCCAGCAGTTACCCCCATTTAAATCATGAGTCTTGAGCCAAACTTCCAAAACTTCAAAAGGATTTATTGGGAGTTAACATGTCCGGCACTGCCTGGGTGTAGCCGACTCTGAGACACATCATTCATTGTCACCCTTGACCCTGGTTTTCCCCCCACCCCCCGGGGGGTATCGTAATTCATATTCTCCAATGGGACACATCCATAGCCCAGAGTCATCAATCATGTTCTCCAATTAGAATTTTGCACAGCAGAAACAGTAGTCAGCTAGAAACTATCTTTGAAAAACTATTTATGGAATGCACTTTTGATTTCCAAGCTGCCACGGTGCTCTTTCAAACCCCTTTCCCCTCTCCCTTTTCTGTTGGCAACACTTAAAAGACCATAGAAATATTTTTATGAGTTGACATCGAATTTATGACAGTTGCAGTGTCCCAAGGTCATGGGAGTCCCTTTTTGTGACCTTCTGACAAGCAAAGGTCAATAGCCAAGCCAGATTCGCACAACCACCACCTTACTAACTTAACAACTGCGGCGATTCACTTAACAACCTCAGCAACGAAGGTCATAAACCAGGGCCAAGTCCACTTGAGCAATGTCGGTTGCTTAGCAACAGAACTTTTGGGCTCCATGGGGGGGGAGGTCAGAAGTCGGGGATCACAAATTGGCGCCTTATTCCCATTTCTCTGCGCCGCATTGCGCCCCGCCCCCTTCCTCGGGCCTGAAAAGGAAGGGCGATCACGTGACGCCACGGGAATCACGTGAAGGAACCCCTTCCGGCCCCCTCCCTACCCCCGGGGCCGGAAATGCGAGATGGGAGAAAGAGAGAGGGGGGGGGAGAGAGAGGGACCTACCAGCCACGGAGCTGCCGCGGTTAAAACCAACGAGCCTGGAGGCCTAGAGCGGCGTGGGAATTTGTGGGCGTGCGGGAGGGGGGTGGGGTGGGCGGCGCATTTCTCCTCCTGAGACTCCGGGATGTGCAGTTTGCAAGGCGGTGCGTAGTCGAGCCGAGACGGCGGCGGCTGCGGGCGGAGGGTGGGGAGCCGGACTCGTCAGTGCAAAAGAGCGGAGGGGGGGTGCATCGGGTCTGGGGTTCCTTAAAGGGAAGGGGGCAGACCGGGCACAAGCCCGCATGAAGCCCACTTCTCACCCAATCGTAGAGGTAAGTAGGTCTAACCAAGCCAAGGCCATCAGCCACAGCCATACCGTTCTGGGAGAGGAAGATGGGTACTTCAGACGACTTGCTGTTGCCAGCTTTGGGTTTTTGCGCTAGGCTGGGTCGAGGGTTTGGGTTGTGCAATGTCGGGTTTAACCCAAAGGTTGCTTTTCGTATTTCGTATTTAATTTACTTTATTGCCATTGCACCTCGTACAAATGAAATGCCCTCTTCATTGTACCTAGAATTCTTTTTATTGGCCAAGTGTGATTGGACGGACACACAAGGAATTCGTCTTGGTGCAAATGCTCTCAATGTACATAAAAGAAAAGATACATTCATCAAGAATCATAAGGTTAGAACAGAACAGAATAGAATACAGTTCTTTTTATTGGGCAAGTGAGATTGGACACACAAGGAATTTGTCTTGGTGCAAATGCTCTCAGTGTACATAAAAGAAAAGATACATTCATCAAGAGTCAAGAATCATAAGGTACAACACTTAATAATAGCCATAGGGTACAATAAGCAATCAAATCATACTAGGAAAGAGTCGATAAATAACTATAAAAATAAAATGCAAACGCATATAGTTTGCCTTTTCCAAGAGGCTTTCTGGGTTTTGGAGGGGGCTGATTTCCATGACCCTGGAGGACTGAAAAGCTCTGTAGAGGTGCCTGATTTAACTTGGTTATCTTAAAAATGATTGTGGGAAGGCTGCAAATGGATTCGTAAGCCCGGTCTGCCCTTTTCAAAGTCAAAGGTTGCAGCTTGACTTCTAAAAGCCCGCAGAGAAGAGCAAGCTAAGATGATTAAAGGGCTGGAGGCTAAAACACATGAAAAAAAAAAAACCAACGGTTGGAGGATTTGGGTTTAGCTAGTCCAGAAAAAAAAAAAGGGACTATGAGGTGGAGGCATGATAGCAGTATTTTGGTATTTGAGTGACTGCCACAAATAGGGTATCAATTTATTTTCCAAAGCACCTGAAGGCAGGAGAAGAAACAATGGATAGAAACTAATCAAGGAGAAAAAGCAACCTGGAATTAAAGAGAAACTTCCGAAAAGTGAGGACAATTAACCAGCAGAAAAAGCTTGCCTTCAGAAACTGGATGCTTGGTCACTGGAGGTTTTTAAGAAGAGAGTAGATAAGTCACTTGTCTGAAGTGGGATAGGATGTCCACCTTTATTCTGATTCAGTTCAGATGAGTACAAGTCCAATTGAATAGCGGAATCCCCCTCTGAAAAGTTTTCTCCTCTCCCGCCGGGGGAGGATACCGGCTGTCCCATTTTTTTTAAGGCTTCAGGTTTGTTTTCAGACAGACCCCAGATCCTTTTTTTCTTGGATACTTCAAGAAGTGGTCTCAAATTTTGAGATAGAGGTAGTCCTTGACGTACAACCACAATGGAGCTCCAAATTGCTGCTGATAGAATAGATGGAACAGAATAGAATAGAATTAGAATAGAAAATATAGAATAGAAAATTAATAGAATAGAATGTAGAGAATAGAATAGGATATATGGAATTAGAATAGAATAGAAAATACAGAATAGAAAATTAATAGGATAGAAAATATGGAATGGAACGGAATGGAATAGAATTCTTTATTGGCCAAGTGTGATTGGACACACAAGAAATTTGTCCTGGTGCAGATGCTCTTAAGGAAGGCATTTGCTAAGGGAGCTGTGCCCCGTTTTACGGCCGCCTTGACTACAGTTGTTGAGTCAATTGTTGCAGTCGTTAAGTTAGTAACTTGGTGGTTAAGTGACTTTGCTTGTCAGAAGGTTGCAAAAAAGGTGATTGTGTGATCCCGGAATGCTATGACTGTCACAAATATGACTCAGTTGCCAAGTGTCTGAATTTTGGTTACGTGCCCATGGGGATGCTGCAATGGTTCTAGGTGTGAAAAATGGTCCACAAACAGGGTATCAATTTATTTTCCAAAGCACCTGAATGGTCCCTTTCTTCAGTGCCGTCGTAACTTTGAAACGGTCACGAAATGAACTGTTGTAAGTCGAGGATTTACCTGTTTTATCCTCTGGCTGTTAAGGATTGTGGGTTGCTTTGGGATGCAAACCAAGGGTGCTCATCTGCAGCCTTTCTGCAGAGGACTAGCAGCTTAGGAAGCTGCCTAATTCTCAAGGGTGCTTAACTTAATATTGTCTACCCGGCTTTGTCTGATTCGCAGCCCCGCTCAGTAGGGTAGTTTTTAACTCTCCTGCTATGGTTGTGTGACAACATCTGTGGTTAATGAAGAGATGATTTCCTCAATGGAGCCGTTTTTTCCAGCCTTTGCACAATGCAGCAAACCACACAAGGCATGGGGCTAGTGAGTTGCACAACACACTAGCCTCATAGTTGGTAACTAGGTTGCAGTTTGGTTGGTGTGAGGACAAACCTGATCATCCTCCGTGGTTGCCGGAAATCTAGGCCCAAAGGCCCCTTCATGGTAGAAGGCCCCTTCATGGCTATATACACACAACGTCTATAATATTGGTCAATATCCCAAAGGTGTATTGTGTTGTTTTTTTCTTTTGAAAGCGTTTCGATTCTCATTCTTAGTCCAGTTGCCTCTTAAAAAAAGCACCTTTGGGACAACCATGGCCTGGATGTGACTGAGAATCTCCACAGACGTTTAACCTAGTCAATAAATTAACCTACTTGGAGGTTTCCGCAATGCGCGGAGCCACACAAGAGGTGAATAATGAACTGGTTTTCACAGAGTGTAAAGATCTCGCAAATGCAACTTCTAGGTTTTTTTTTCCCTTTGCTGGTTTAATGGGTTGTGTGAACTGAGCCATTCACTGGCAGCCATGCTGCAGAGTTTCAAGCAAAAGGCTCTTCTCACCTTAGCCATTCCTCAGGTTTGACTGGGTTGTCCTTTTTTGGGCTTCAGGCCAAGGGCCGTTTTTGTGTGTGTGTGTGTGTGTGTGTGTGTGTGTGTGTGTGTGTGTGTTTCTCTCCTCAAAATTTTCATAGTTGCTCAACAAAAGTCTCTGCTTTAGTGTTGTATACCTCACTTAACACGACATTGCTTGGCAGTGGTTGTGGTACTTTTGCTGTACGGGTAAATCCTTGACTTACAACAGTTCATTTAATGGCAGAAGTTACAACCTGTCATGCCCTTGTTGGAGTCTGATTCTGAGGGGGAGATTGAGCAGCTGACAGGGAGTGGGAGGGTGGCTCTGGTGGCTGTGGAAGAAACAGGGGAAGGGCACAGTCCAGCTGGGCAGTCAGAGGAAAACCCAGGGCCACCCCCTCTTCAATCTAGGGCACGCAGGGAGGAACAGAGAAGGGAGCAACATGGCTTACAGGAGAGAAAAGGGCCCTGATGCCTTTCATTAGTTGCAGCTGTGAGAACAGGATATAAGAAGGGCGTTTGCACACAGCACCTTGCATGCATTATCTTTGTCGAGGCTTATCTGGGTTTTGGTTATTATCCTGGCCTGTCATGTTAATTTACTTCAGCGTGGTTTGTGTTGATTTTTTTTTTTAATTTATCTGTATTTTGGGTTTGGACTGCATTTCTTCCCTTTGTAGACTGTTTTTGGAAGAGTTTGATCTCCAGCTGAGGATAACTGGACATTGGGGGCCAAGTTGGAGATATTAAATGGAATTTATTCTACTTTTGTGACTTTGTTATTTTGGGGCCACGCCCCGGGTCATCACACAACCGCACTAAGAAAAAGTGACTTATATGACAATTTTTCACACTGCAGCATACCCAGGGTCACCAGATTTACATTTGGATGCTTGACAGCTTGACAACGTTTGTGACAGTTGTAGTGTCCATGCAACTTTTTGACAAGCAAAGTCCATGGGGAAACCACATTCACTTAACAACCGTGTTACTTTAACAACTGCAGTGATTCCCTTAACAAACGTGGCAAGGAAAAGTCGTAAAATGGAGCAAACCCACTTAACAAATTTCTCACTTAGCCGCATGAATTTGGGGCTCAATTGTGGTCCTAAATTGAGGATTACCCAGGTTTACAATGATTGCAGTGTACTGAGGTCGTGTGAATTCCTTTTGTAGCTTTCTGTAACCTTCAGTCACTTTCTGATGAGCAAGATCGATTGGGAAGCCCGATTCTCTTAGCAAACCTGCCACTAATTTAACAGTACAGTTAAGTGTTGTGATTCACTTAACGACTGTGGTAAGAAAGGTCATAAAATGGGGCAAAACTCACTTTAACAATTGTCTCACTTAGCCACAGAAATTTTGGATTCAGTTGTGGTCAAGAACTACCTATAATCTTACTTCAGAAGAGCCTGAATATTCAAGGGCAGTTACAAAGAGAGCTTTTTTTCAAAAAATAATTAATTGGGTTATTTCATAAAGCAGGGATTTTTTTTTAAAGTTAAGCTTGTGGGGCTTTTATTATCCTACCATTTCCTCATGGGCAAAACAGAAGTGGTTTAATTAACCACTACTGTTTTCTGGAAATGTATTTTGTTTACTTCCCAGATTAATCTGCAACGCTGGGATTTCCTTTTGGTCTCCCATCCCAATATTAAGTTTTGAGCTCTGTGCTGCCCTGCCGGAAACAAAGGATGCTTTTAGAAAGGGAGATCACAAAACCATTCGTAATCTGATGAAACCAGCAGGCCTGAGAAGTTCTCTCTGGCTTGAAACCCTTCTCACATGTTGGGGTTACAGCTTCCAAAATCTGGAAACAAGGGGATTCTAGAAGAATCTAGAATATTCTTCTATTTTTACCCATTTTTTTTTTTAGCTGAAGAAAACCCCAACCCAATTCAAAGTGGTGTTTCCAAAAGTAATTAGCAGGCGGCTCGGTTCTAGTTTACAGATGTAAAAGATACAAGCAGTAGAAAGAAATTAAAACAACTGTTGGACCCACAGTTTCACTTTCTGCATTCTCTGCTGTGACTGGCCTTTTTTTTTTTTCCCTCTGGGTTGTTCCTCTTTCCAGTCTTCTCTTCTCCTTTTGTGTTTGCTCTGGAGATCAAGCAATAATTCCCCCCCTTTTTTCCCCCCATTGTCCAAAAGGGGAAGAAAATTGCTTCTTTTGTACCCTGCTGGGGAATTCTGGAAGCTGAAGTTCACACATCTTAAATTTGCTGAGGTGAAGAAACGTTGCTTCGGTTGTGGAATTTCATCAGATCAGGACACTGAGAAAAAGTTGGCTGTGTGTGTGCAAAGTAATCATATATTCCTCTGTGTTCAGCTTTAAACAGGTCTGAATACAGCCAGTCCTTGACTTGCGACCGAAATGGAGCCCAAAATTTCCATTGCTAAGTGAAACATTTCAGTGAGTTTCGCTACAGTTAGTCCTCAACTTGCAACAGTTCGTTTAGTGACCATTCAAAATTACAGCGGCACTGAAAAGAGGGACTTATATGACCATTTTTCACACTTAACGACCGTTGTAGCATCCCCCGTGATCACACAATCAAAATTCAGATGCCTGGTAACCAACTCATGACGGTTACAATGTCCTGGGAATATTTTTTTTACCTTCTTACGACCTTCTGACAAGCAAAGTCAATGGGGAAGCCAGATTCACTGAACAACCGGGTTACTAATGTAACAACTGCAGTGATTCCCTTAACAATCGTGTTAAGAAAGATTTCAAAACGGGGAAAAACTCACTTCACAAATGTCTCACTTGGCGCTATCAATTTGGGGCTCCATTGTGGTCGTAAGTTGAGGACTACTGGTGTAAGTCTAAATCAGTGGCCACCAACCTTTTGGGCACCAGGGACTGGTTCTGTGGAGAGGGTTTTTTTCCCATGGACCGGGGGGGGGTTAGGGATACCCTGGTCTAAATGTTAAGTGCTATTGTTCTTTGATTTTTTTAATGTTCTATTAGCTGGATATCCGTGCTTCGCGATGAAACTATGTGAGTGGGCTATGCAGGAGAAATTCGGTTCACAATCGGTTGGCTCAGTGGCGGTCGGTGGTTGAAACACATAAGGGAATATCGTTCCCGCCGCCTTGAGTCTGGAAGCAGTTCCGTAGGTGGAAGGCGTAGACATTTTGGTGAGGTAGCAACGTTTAGTACTGTAAGGAGCCCCAGACCGCGCCTGAGTGAAGGACGGGAAGGTCTGCCAGTTTGAGCTGAGGTAATAGAATGTGAGGCAACTGGCAGTTGGAACAGAGTTCTTTTCAGGTGGGAAGGGAAAATAGAACTCCTTAGCATCAGAGCGTGTTAATTACTGTATAAGAAATACTAATGATCTGATGGTCATTTCATCATTTCATTTAGAGCCTCTGTGGCGCAGTGGTTAGAGTGCAGTACTTCAAGCTACTTCTGCAGCCAGCTGCCTACAATTTGGCAATTCAAATCCCACCAGGGTCAAGGTTGACTCAGCCTTCCATCCTTCTGAGGTGGCTAAAATGAGGACCCAGACTGTTGGGGGCAAGAGGCTGACTCTGTAAACTGCTTAGAGAGGGCTGTGAAGCACTATAAAGCGGTATATAAGTCTAAGTGCCATTGCTATTTCGAAAAATCCTTTCTTAGCGAGCACCTAGAAGCCAAGAGGAGCATACGTGTCAAATTTCAAGTTTGTAGGCTTTACGGTTCTGGAGATTTCGTGATGAGTGAGTGGTACTTGGATTTTATATAATATAGATGAGCAGCTGCTGTTTGTAACACGTCAAAGGTCGTCAGCCCAGATTCCCCCAATGATCAATGGGTTTCACAATTGCTCCTTTCTGGAGCTGATCAGTAAATATTCCCATTCGACAGGCGTGGAAGATTGAGAATAAAAATAAACATGGCCAAATGCAATGAAGATGAAAAAACAACATTGCTATAACTAGTAATGTTGAAAGTACTCACAAACGCTTGGTCTGCAATGCAGGCAACCCAGACATACGTTGTCATTGATGTTCAGTGCATTTCAGATTTAAAATACTGTGCCAATTAAATTCAAAGATCCTCTTTCCCACAAGTCATCTCTAACCAGGGAAAAGATGGCGGAAGTCGCAGTTGTCAGTATGAACTGGAGGGAAGTAGAAACTTCCCTTTTTCTACCAAGACAGTCCAAACAGCATAATTGGAACAAAAGTCCATTAGAATCATTAGTTTAGCGACCGTTTCAAGTTACAGGGCTGAAAAAATGATTTATAGCCAGTCCCTACACTCATAACTGTTCCAGCATCCCCACAATCATGTGATCAACATTTGGGCACTTGGCAACCAAAGTGTCCTTAGAATACTTAAACATGAGCCAGCCGTGTGCGGCAGCAGCCAAGAAAGCTAATATAATCCTTGGTTGTATAACCAAAGGCATAGAATCAAAGTCATGCGAAGTGTTAGTACCACTTTATAAAGACTTAGTAAGGCCACACCTGGAATACTGCATTTTAGTTTTGGTCAATTACAAAAAAGATATTGAGGCTTTGGAGAAAGTGCAGAAAGAAGAGCAATTAAGATGATTAAAGGCCTGGAGACTAAAACATGAACAGTTGCAGGAACTGGGTATGGCTAGTCTTGAGAAAAGAAGGACCAGGGGAGACAGGATAGCAGTGTTCCGATATCTCAGGGGCTGCCACAAAGAAGAGAGAGTCAAGCTATTCTCCAAAGACAAGAAACAATCCCGCAGAATTAAGGAGAAACATCCGGAAAGTGAGCACCTTAAACCAGGTTTGCATTCAAAAGTTGTGGGGGCTTCATCACTGGAGGTTTTTAAAAAGAGACTGGACAGCCACCTGTGAAATAGTATAGGCTGTCCTATTTGAGAAAGGGGATTGGTCTAGAACAGTGGTCTCCAATCGGTGGGCCGGGGACCACTGGTGGTCCGCGAGAAAATTTTGGTGGTCCACAGAGAAATGTCACCTCCAAAGCAATTAATCCAGGCTGCGCGGGAATACAAGGTTTGCATCGCTTGCATTGCGAACATGAGGTAGTGAGGAGAGGGGGGGGAAAGGGCGGAGGGGGGGAACTTGCCCCACGCGCCTCATCTGGCCACCCGGCTGCTTCTTTCTACTTCTTTCTTCTGCTTTTGGCTGCACACAAGGAAAGCAGCAAAAGTCTTTCTTTCTCTCCCTCAAGATCTGCCAGAAATGAGTCTTTGGGACCCTGCAAGGCGTCCTGTTCCAAGAGGCTGTGCCGGCACGACAAGTCTCACCAATTCTGGCAGAATTTGGGGGAGAGAAAGAAAGACTTCTGCTGTTTCTGCTGCTTTCCTTGCATGAAGCCAAAAGTCTCTCTCTCCCTCCCTGAGAACAGAGCTGGAGACGGTATCCCGCGATCCCAAATCAAGAATGATCGATCGGTAGGAAAACAGGGTGGGGAATTTTTCTGTAGACGTTTTGGGGGATTTTCCCAGGATCTCTGGTCTGCAGGATTTAAAATTATGAGTTTAGTGGTCCCTGAGGTCCAAAAAGTTGGCAACCCTTTGATCAATCAATTGATTGAATAGTTGCATAGTCCTGGGGTCATGTAATTACATTTGCAACCTTCCCAGCCGGCTTCCTACAAGCCAAGTAAATGAGAGAAGCCGGATTCATTTAACAGCCATTTTGTGGTGGGAGTATCATCAGAGAGTTGTTAGGCTGCTTTTTGCTGGTTGTTCAAGATGGCTTCCTGACAATGGTTTAATCTGGATTCTTACACCGAGCAAGACGCTGGATTGGATGACCTCAGTGGCCCTTTGCAGCTCTGAGATTCTGCGGTTCAGCGCGTGGCTGTTTCAGTATTACATTTTTCCTCCTCCTCATCCATCTTACTCTCTCTGTTCTTCAGAAAGAAGCTGGTTGGAGAGAAGACACTCCCAGGTTTTTCTGTAGGTGAGAAGCTTTGAAATCCCATCATCTTTCCCAGTCTGAACTTGTCCAGACTTGGACTCAGACCCCTTCGATCATGTCCGCCGAAAGAAACCAGTGCTGGGCTGGAAAGGCGAACAGTTGAGCAGAGCCGAGGCCAAAATGGCGGCCGAGAGATGGGAGGTGTCCTCCGTGGGCCACCACCCGTACGAAACCCGGGTGGAAAAAGAAGTCAAAATGGAGGAGTTTGAGAGAAATGGCCTTGCGCTGGCCGGCCCGACCCGATTCCGGAAGAGCCCTTATGTCGTCCAAGCTTTCACCATAGGGGAGCATTTTAGCCGGATGGCAGCCAAGCCAACAGAACAGGACCTCGAGGAGGGGGTTCTGTCACCCTGTTGGGAAGCCCAATGGCGGGACATCCTGAAGAACACACCGTCCCCGTATTCAGGATGGAGCCACCCCCATATCCCGGGGGTCCTGGCTCCTGCGGAAACCAGGGCTGGCGAAGAGCTCCTACAAGAAGAGACGGGTGGACTTCTGGCCCCGGAGAGACCCCTCAAGACCAGCCTGGATACAGACCCCGCAGAGCAAAGGGAGGATAGAGAGGTGAAGGGAGAGGGCCGAGCCCAGGAGACCTCCAGCGCAGAACTGCACCGTCAACACTTCCGCTGGTTTTGCTACCAAGAGGCGGAGGGGCCTTGGGACGTCTGCGCCCGTCTGCGGGAGCTGTGTCTCAACTGGCTGCAGCCGGAGCTGAATTCGAAAGAACGGATGGTGGAGCTGGTGGTCCTGGAGCAGTTCTTGGCCATCTTGCCTGAGGACCTCCAGGGCTGGGTAGGAGAAAGCGGGCCGGAGACCTGTGCCCAGGCGGTAGCCCTGGTGGAGGACTTTCTGCTGAGGCAACAAGAGACTGAGAGGTGGAAACAGGAAGTAAGGTTTCAGAGGTGCGGTGGGGAAGTGGGGATGAGTCCCTCAGTCCTTCACCTCATATGAGCCACCCACCGATGGCTCATATGAGGTGAAGGACTGAGGGATAAAGGGGATAAAGTGCAGTCTTGCAGGCTAACTGCCCCCTGTTGGCAGTTCGATCCTGACCGGCTTAAGGTTGACTGAGCCTTCCATCTTTCCATCAGTGAGGACCCTGATTGTTTGAGGGGGGGTGGGGGCGATATGCTGACTCCCTAAACCAAGGGTCTCCAACCGTGGCAACTTTTAAGACGCGTGGACTTCAACGAGCAAACCTGGCTGAGGAATTCTGGGAGTTTGAAGCCCACAAGTCTTAAAGTTGCCCAGGTTGGAGACCCCTGCCCTAAAGCCCTTTGGAGAGGGCTATAAAGCAGGGGTCTTCAACCCTCGGTCCATGGACCGTCACTGGGCCGCGGCATGCCGGAAATTGGGCTGCAGAAACAAGCAAAGACCCCTCCATGGGATGCAGGTAGCACACGGTCCCCTCTAGTTCATAGAAAAAACACTCTCCAAGGAACCAGTCCCTGGTGTCCGAAAAATTGGAGGCCACTGCTGTAAAGCACTATGAAGCGGTATATAAGTGTAAGTGTTATGGCTATTGCTGTTGCTATCTCACTGTGTCCCATCAGAGACTGACAGGTGGAATCAGGGCTGCAATGGTTCACAGATAAATAATATAATCAGAGTGGTGGGTGTGGCGTGGCTTAGTGGGCGTGGCAGGGGAAGGTTACTGCAAAATCCCCATTCCCTCCCCACCCCACTAACCTGCTTTCCAGCTCCGTTCTCCTATGCAGGGCAACCAAAGAAGACCCACTGGGACTTTGGAGGCGGAGAAAAGGTGGGGGCGGGGCCAGTCGGAGGCGGTATTTGCCGGTTCTCCGAACTACTCAAAATTTCTGCTACCGGTTCTCCAGAACTGGTCAGAACCTGGTGAATACCCACCTCTGGTGTAAATGAGACTTGTCAACTTCTAAGAATTGTGGATCTCAACTCCCCGAATGGCCAAGGTCCTTGCCACATCTCCCGATCAGTAGATTCCCATCAACTATTGTGAGGGTTCGTTTCCCAGCCGAACGGTTGCAGCGGTGTGCAGCAAAAAAAAACCGCCGTCTTCATACGTGTGTTGTTGTGACATCACATGTACATTCCCCAAAGGGCCAGAACCGGCAAGTGATGGATGCTCCCTTCATCATTTAAGATTCAAACAGCCAGAATTGCAGCTATCCACCCACGTTTTTGCTTCTTTTTTTAATCTTTCAGGTACTGGGAGAGTTTGAAGAAGTAGCGATGAGTTTTTCAAGAGAGGATGACGCCGGCGAAAAACAGCCTTGCCGGGAAATCAAGCAGGAACAGTCCAATTGGTTGGGTACGGGTGCTTTGTGGTGTATTTATTTAGTTAGTTGAATATTCCACGTTCATATGCTGCACATCTCGCCTATCCTCAACTTGACAACCATCATTGAGCCTTGAATTGCGGTCATAAGTCTTGCCAGTCATTAAGCAGGTCCCTAGGCGACCACGTCCGATTTTGTGACCTTGTTTTGTGGCAGTCACTAAGTGAACGCCACAATAGTAAGGTGAACACCACGGCTGTATAGTTAATATGAGCCAGCTGTGTGCAGCATCAGCCCAAAAAGCCAATGCAATCCTAAATTGCATTAACAGAGGGATACAATCCAGATCAAGGGAGGTACTAATACCACTCTATAAAGCCTTAGTAAGACCACACCTAGAGTACTGCATCCAGTTTTGGTCACCCCACTATAAAAAAGATGTTGAGACTCTAGAAAAAGTGCAGAGAAGAGCAACCAGGATGATTAGGGGACTGGAGACTGAAACATACGATGAACGGTTGCAGGAACTGGACATGGCTAGTCTAGTGAAGAGAAGGACCAGGGGAGACAGGATAGCGGTCTTCCAATGTTTGAGGGGTTGCTACACAGAAGAAAGGGTCAAGCTATTTTCTAACTCACCTGTAGGCCAGGCAAGGAATAATGGATGGAAAGTGAACAAGGAGAGATTTAACCTGGAAATAAGGGGAAACTTTCTGACAGTGAGAACAATCAACCAATGGAACAGACGTTGCCTTTGGAAGTTGTGGGAGCATCATCACTTGAGACTTTGAAGAAGAGATTAGACTGCCATTTGTCAGAAATGGTGTAGGGTCTCCTGCTTGGGCAGGGGGTTGGACTTGATGACCTGCAAGGTCCAACTCTGATTATCTGTGATCTGTTATCTATCCTCTGCAATGACTCTTATTTTTCAGTCCTTTGTCTTCCCTTCTGTCATCTTCCGGTGTTGCCATATCCGCTGTCCAGACTTAATTCGAAGTTACCGTGAACCTCTTCAAGGACTAGTTAACCATAGGAATTTGAAGTATCCCTCCCCGCAGTCACATGATCAGAATTTGGAAGCTGAGCAAACCCTCATTTACGGCTGTTTGCAGCAACGCTAAGTCACATGTGTCAGGATTCTAGCGGTCACCCCCATTTAAATCGTGAGTCTCAAGCCAAACTTCCAAAACTCCAAATGGATTTATTGGGAGTTAACATGTCCGGCACTGCCTGAGTGTAGCCGACTCTGAGACACATCCTTCACTGTCACCCTTGACCCTGGTTTTCCCCCCACCCCCTGGGTGTATCGTAATTCATATTCTCCAATGGGACACATCCATAGCCCAGAGTCATCAATCATGCTCTCCAGTTAGAATTTTGCACGGCAGAAACTTCAGTCACCTAGTTACTATCTTTGAAATCATTTATGGAATGCAGTTTTGGTTTGCAAGCTGCTGCACTGCTCTTTCTCCCCTCCCTTTCCGTTGTCAACTCTCAAAAGACCATAGAAATATTTTATGAGTTGACAACGTGAATGTGTCCCAAAAGTGCTTTTTTTCAAGAGGCAACCGGACTCTCTGGTTTTTTTTTCTTTGACGACCTTTCGCTTCTCATCCAAGAAGCTTCTTTAGCTCTGACTGGATGGTGGAATCCATCCAGCTCGAGTTGAAGAAGCTTCTTGGAGGAGAAGCGAAACGTCGTCAAAGAAAAAACAAAACAAAACAAGAAAGTTCACTTGTCTCTTGAAAAACAACAGGCCTTGGGAAAGTTCACCGTCATTTCAAATGACGTCTGGACGGTGGATATGGCAATACCTGAAGATGACAGAAGGGAAGAGAAAGGACTGGAGAAATTGAGTGACAGTAGCAATAGAAAGCAAAGATAATACTCATAATAATTATTTTATTTATTGTTATTTATTTATTTTGTCAAGTGATTATAAGATAATAGGTATAAATATAAGCATAGTTATGAATACATGAAATTGATACATATAAGAAAAAAATAAAAGAAACAATAGGACAGGGACGGTAGGCACGTTGGTGCGCTTATGCACGCCCCCTACAGACTTCTTAGGAAAGGGGTGAGGTCAATAGTAGACAGTCTAAGGTTAAAGTTTTTGTGGTTTGGGGAAGAAACCACAGAGTCAGGTAGAGTATTCCAGACATTGACCACTCTGTTGCTGAAGTCCTACTTCCTGCAATCAAGTTTGGTGCGGTTTACCTTGAGTTTGTATCTATTGTGTGCTCTTGTATTGTTATGGTTGAAGCTGAATCATTCATTGACAGGTAGGACATTGCAATGTATGATTTTATGTACTATACTTAGATCGGACCGAAGGCGGCGTAGTTCTAGGTTTTCCAGGTCTAGAATTTCAAGTCTGGTGGCATAAGGTATTCTGTAACCAGTAGAGGAGCAGAGAACTCTTCTTGTGAAAGATAATCTGGACTTTCTCAACTGTGTTAATATCAGATACGTAATGCGTATCTTATTTTATTTATTTATTTATTGTAATTGCACCTGGGGTGCAATGCCAAAACATGCTGAGCATCACTTCAGCGCCAGCAAAACCTCCATCCATCCAATTGCAAGAGACCGCTTTGTTTGGAACATCCTGACATCCTGCAATATCCTTCGTCCCATCAAACAGCAACATTTACCTATCCCAGGTCTTTGGGAAGGCCTTGCTAGGTTGAATAAAGTTGCCAGGCTAAGTACTGTCTCTGTCTGACCGTGCAACGAACCCATCATAGACCTCGCTAAAGAAGGTTTGGCGAGATTCCTTCTTGGAAAGAGTCACTTCCAAGTTTTATGCAGTTCTCTTAAATTTCTCTTAAATTTCCTGAAGAGAAACCGACTCCCAGCAGAATTTCAGAAATGAAAGCTGAATCCACGCATCACATACAACTGTAGCTCTTTGCCCTCCCCCCCAAAAAAAATAAAATAAAATTGGTTTATTGTTAGTCTAGGAGATGGGCAAAATAATTATTGCTGGTTATAGTCTATTTCCTGGTTTCTTTTCTCTCTTTTTTAAGAAATTCTTTTCTTCTGAAGATGGTTGGGGCATGGCAGAAAAACGAACTATAACCCAGGAAGCTATAAACTATATATTAGAATATAGAATAACAGAGTTGGAAGGGACCTTGGAGGTCTTCTAGTCCAACCCCCTGCTTAGGCAAAGAAGCCTTATGCAATTTCAGACAAATGGCTATCCAATCTCTTCTTAAAACCCTCCAATGTTGGAGCACCCACAACTTCTGTGGGCAAACTGTTCCACGGATTAATTGTTCTGACTGTCAGGAAATTTCTCCTTGGTTGCTTCTCTCCTTGATTAATTTACACCCGTGGCTTCTTGTCCTGCCCTCAGGGGGCTTTGGAGAATAGCTTGACTCCCTCTCCTTTGTGGCAGCCCCTGAGATATTGAAAGACTGCTTTCGTGTCTCTCCTAGTCCTTCTTTTCATAAAACTAGACACACCCAGTTCCAGCAACCATCCATCATATGTTTTAGCTTCCAGTCCCCTCATCATCTTGGTTGCTCTTCTCTGCGCTCTTTTTCTAGAGTCTCAACATCTTTCTTACATCGTGGCGACCAAATACACCCCTGTTTCTATGCAAAGCTTCAGGAGACAGGAAGCCAATAGCTTTAAAATGAAAATTTTGCTGTCTTGAAATGAATTGTGGTTAAATGATCCGAATGTCAGGGCTCCAACACATCCACCCCCCATTCAAATCATAAGTCTCTAGCTGCATTTCTCAGAGTTAAAAAAAAAAAAAATTATTAGGAGTGACCATGTCGGCGTTAGCTGGGTGCAGCCGACACTAAAATACATTAGTGTCACACATTAAAAATACAGTTGCCACTTAAATTGATTGTGGTCACACATTAGAATGGTAAAAAAAAAAAACTAAATGGAAAAAAAAAACATCTTAGCGCAGAATATGAGTGTGTGTCGTTTCAACCGTTGTACTTGCTATTAGTTCTAGCTTTTCTAACGCTCTCTTTTAATCCTGACAGATAAGTGGGAGAGTGAGGCTGAAGAGGCCGTGTTTGAAGCGTTGTTGGAAAAAGCTGAAACTCAAGTCCTGGAAGAAAACTTTGGAGAACAAGAGGCACCAAGGTGGGAGCAGAGATTCCCCATAGACAAGAGAAGAAATAACGCCCTTCTTGGTGAGAGCAGGGTCTCTAGTGAGCGTGTCTCGGAGGACAGAGCGCCAACAGGAAAGCGGAGGCATGTTTGCGCTCTTTGTGGGAAGGGCTTCACTCAAAAATCCAACCTCAACCGGCATCACAGAACCCACGTGGGAGGAAAGACATTTCAGTGCTTAAAATGCGGCAAAAGCTTCAAGTGGGAAACCAGCTTTATGCGGCATCAGCGGTTCCATACCGGCGAGAAGCCTTATCCCTGCGTTGACTGCGGGAAATGCTTTAGTCGGAGCGCAAACCTCATCATTCATCAGAGGATTCACACCGGAGAGAAACCCCACCAGTGCGCCGACTGCGGGCAGAGTTTTAGCCAGGTTTCCAATCTCGTTCGACACCACCGCGTCCACACCGGGGAGAAACCTTACAAGTGCCTGGAGTGCGAGAAGAGTTTCACGCAGAAATCGAACCTTGTCAAGCATCAGAGTGTCCACTTGGGGGACAAGCCGCCCCGGCGCTCGGCTAATGGGAAGAGGCTCAGTCAGAGGTCCAGCCATAAGAGATTGGACAGGGATCCCCTTGGAGAAAACCCCTGTCAGTGCTTCAAGTGTGGGAAAATCTTTTCCCGGAGAGGCAACCTCCTCAGGCATCAGAGCATCCACACAAAAGACAAGCCGCACAAATGCCTCGAGTGCGGGAAGCGGTTCAACCAGAGGACCAACCTGAACGCCCATCAAAGGATCCACACCGGGGAGAAACCGTACCGATGTCCAGACTGTGGGAAAAGTTTCCGTTGGAGGGCGCATCTCATCATCCACAAGCGCTTGCACACCGGCGAGAAGCCGCACAAATGCGCCGACTGCGGGCAGAGCTTCAGCCAGCGGTCCAATCTGGTGAGGCACCTCCGAATCCACACGGGAGAGAAGCCGTACAAATGCTTGGAGTGCGAGAAGAGCTTTGGCCAGAAATCCAACCTTCTCAAGCACCAGAAGATTCACACGGGGGAAACTGCCCTCCCTCGGCCAAGCGGTAATGTCAGACGGGACCAAACGGGAGAGGAACCCTATCGATGTTTCCGGTGTGGGAAAATATTCACCCGCAGGGGGAACCTTTTGAGGCACCAGAGCATCCACACACGAGAAAAACCTCACAAGTGCTCCGAGTGTGGAAAGAGATTCAATCAGAGAGCCAACCTCATCAGCCATCAGAGGATTCACACCGGAGAAAAACCCTTCACCTGCCTTGACTGTGGGAAATGTTTTCGGCAGAGCCCGCACCTGATTAAACATCAGAAAGTCCACACTGAGGAGAAGGCGTCCCACCACCATAGCTCGGATCACGGGGCGAGCATCAGCCTTGAGCCAGGCCACAGGAGCCACGAGAGGATCTACCTGAGAGGCAATCCGTATCAGTGTATGACGTGCGGGAAGATGTTTAACTGGCAATCAAATTTCATCCGCCATCAAAAAATCCACGCCGGCGAAGAACCTCGCCAGTGCTTGGACTGCGGGAAGATGTTCAACCGGAGGAAGAACTTTGTGGCGCATCAGAGAATCCACACGAAAGAGAAGCCTTACCAGTGCACTGAGTGTGGGCAAACCTTCACCTGGGAAGCGCACCTGGTGATCCATCAAAGAATCCACACGGGAGAAAAACCTCACACCTGCGTGGAGTGCGGGCAGAGTTTCAGCCAGAGGTCCAACCTCATCCGCCATCAGAGGATCCACACGGGAGAGAAACCCTACGCTTGCTCGGAGTGCGGGCAGAGTTTTACGCAAAGGACACACCTTGTGGTGCACCAGAGAATCCACACGGGGGAGAAACCCCACACCTGCGTGGAGTGCGGGCAGGGCTTCAGCCAGAGGGCTCACCTGATTGTCCACCGGAGGATCCACACGGGAGAGAAGCCGTATCGGTGCGCGGACTGTGGACAGGGCTTCTGCCAAAGATCCAATCTCACCAGACATCAGAGATCCCATGACTGCGAGAAACGAAAACAGGAGATAGGGAGGCATACTCCGCTGGAGGCGTGTGTGGTTTGAGTCTCGGTCCCCCCAGCGTGGGGCATGAGGGAGAACGGGCGTGGTCAGTCGGTATGGACACTGGGCGGGGGGGGGGTGGGAACAAACCAAATTGGTCTTTATGGAAGGATCCACCAAGGAGACTGAGTCTGAGCTATGAAATATACAGAGTTGTGAAACAGTTTGAAGACACTGATCGTATTAAAACAGCCATCTTCAAAATGGCTACTGGTGTCTTGACTTTTACAGCGGTGTTTTTCAAACTTAAGATTACTGTTTAAGGCCGTGTGTCTCAACCGCAGCAGCTTTTAAGATAGGTGGACTTCAAACTCCCAGAATTCCCCAGCCAGCATAGCTGGCTGGGGAATTCTGGGAGTTTGAAGTCCACATGTCTTTTTAAAAAATGGCCAAGTTTGAGATACGTTGTTTTACAGGATGATGTCAACCGGCAAAAATGCACTGATTTACCAAATATCCTTGCTCTTCCCCGTTGCCTTTGCTTCACTTGGTCCTTCGACAGCTGCCGCTGCCCAATCGTCGTTCCTCTTTTTTTAACCCAGTGGAAGGCGGGAAAGAAATGAGGTGAAGAAGATGGTACGTCAACACCGTTGCTTTCTGGGAAAAGGCCCCCAAATTGAGGGCAGAAACTGATACAAGAAAGATTTGGCTTGTAAATGCACTAGATAAGGTTGGGGAATTGCAGAGAAGAACAGCCCCGCCCCCGTGTCCCAATTCTCTTGAGTCACATGACTAGTGGGGGGAGGGGCTTAGAACGGAGGATTCCACAGGATTCCGGCCCTCCATTTTAAGCCCCTCCTCCCCGCCAGTCAGGTGACCGGGAACACCGCGGATAAAAGAGCGTTTTCTCAACTATTGGGCAGCTTTTTAAGATATCTGGACTTTCAACTTCCCAAAATTCCCCAGCCAGCCAGCATGGTTGGCAAAGGAATTTCTGGGAGTTGGAAGTCCACGCATCTTCAAGTTGAGAAACTGGTCTGTGGTGGGGTCTGAGGATGCCAGCGCACCCCAAACAACTTGGCGTTGGTCCAGAGAGCATCCTTGGGATTGTGTGTCATTCTGACTTGGTGTTTTTCAGTCACAGGGTTTAAAAAAAAAAAACGGGGACGTGTGCAGCTGACCCCCAAAACCGATCCAGGACAGCCCCTTTCTGAGGACTCTTTAACAGACTAAACTCCCAGCATTCTTCTCGCCATTGGAATTGCTCTCGTCCTGGGCTTCATGGAGGTAGTTCTCAATCCTTTTGAATCCGCTACAGCAAGGATCCCCGATCCCCAGGTATCCCTGCAGAACAATCCCCTGCTCCCTTCCCCTCGCCCCAGACCGCCAAGTAGGGACCACTGTGGTATAGTCTTCAATATATCAGTACTTCTCTGGCACACCAGATGAGAACCGTCAACCCATGGAGCAGACGTTGCCTTCGGAAGTTGTGTGGGAGCGTCATCCCTTGAGATTTTCAAGAATAGACTGGACTGCTATTTGTCAGAAACGATGTAGGGCTAGTGGTGGCTAACCTTTTTGGGCTCCTGTGCCAAAAATTGTGCACTTGCATGCCAGCACCCAGGAGGCAATACTTCCCCCCCCCCACACACACCTCCTACGCATGTGCCCACCATCCCCACTCACCCCCATCACCCTCTTACCTGCACTGCGCCTCACAGCTGATTTTCGGCCAGTTTGAGGCCTTTTTTGGCTTTCCAGAGGCTTGAAGGCCTTTGCAGGCCAAAAACTAGGCCCGTTTCATCACTTCTGGTATTTTCGGACAAACAGAAAGTGATGAAACGGGCCTAGTTTTCGCCCTGCAAAGCCTGCAGAGGCCTTCCTCAAGCCTCTGGGAGGCCGAAAAAGAGCCAAAAATCAGCTGTGAGGTACACACATGTGCTGTGAGGTAAGTTTGCCTGCAGCTCGCATGCTGGCACAAATGGCTCTGCATGTCGCCTGTGGCACGCGTGCCATAGGTTCGCCATCATGGGTGTAGGGTCTCCTGCTTGGGCGGGGGTTGGACTAGATGACCTACAAGGTCCCTTCCAACTCATGATTATCTGTTCTCTAAATTGTTGAATGTTATACAGGTAGGCCTCTACTTATGATCACAGTGGAGCTCAAAATATCTGTTGCTAAGCAAGACCTTTGTTAAGTGATTTTTTCAACAAAAAAAAATTCCCCCATTTGAGACCTTTCTTGCCACCGTTGTTAAGTGGACTGCTGCAGTTGTTAAGTTAGCAACCTGGCTTGTTAAGGGAACCTGGCTTCCCCATGGTCTTTGCTGGTCTGAAGGCGGCAAATGGCGGTCCCACAACCAGGAACACTGCAACCGTCATAAATGCGAGTCAGTTGCCAAGCCTCTGGATTTTGAATAATAGATAATCGTGGGGATACTGCAATCGATTTAACAGCTTTTTTTTTTTTCAGTGCAGTGATTTTGAAGGAGATCTGTTATAAGTCGAGGATTACCTGTATGCATATTTTTTAAAATGCCGTCTTAACTTTGGCCATGTCAAGCGGGGGAAATTCACTAGAGAAAGCAATTACGTTTGGAGGGGTTAGCGGTAAAGGGGAACCAGGCCGCCAAAAACATGCTGGCTGGACACCATCAAAGCTGACTCCCCACCCAGAGCGTAGAACAACTCAAAGAAATAGTGCCAGATTGGAAGACGTGGCGAGACCTGGTCCATAGAATTGCCAGAAATCATCATCAGTACGCAGTTTGAAGGGAAATTATGAACATTTCTAAAAACATCTGTGCTGTTGGACATAGCACAAAAACACAGAATAAGAGGAGGTCGAGTCGTATAGATTCACCACCTTCAGTTCATTTTTTAAAATAATCAGGCACACTATTGAAATATTGTGGGGGGGAGGGAGAAAATAGAATAAGACAATCTCATGGCACATAAGAAACAAGCTTGGCTGAGAACCACTGTTCTAGGGGCATTAAATTCCTTTAAAAAAAAATAATAATCCACTATTCTGTTCCTCTTCGCTTCTCCAGCTAAGTGGCGCACTCTTTTTCTCCCTTACAAGTTGCCACCTTTCCACAATTTTGACCCAAAGTCACCACTAAAGAAGAGGCTGGACAGCCATTTGTCTAAAACTGGATAGAGCCTATTGCCTAGGCAGGGTGGGGTGGGCTAGATGACCTCTGAGGTCCCTTCTATCTCTTAATTCTGAAACGTAAGCTTCCTTCTTAAAACATCCTCTTTTAAGTCTCAGGTAGTGAGCAGGGATGTTGGTTTTTTGGGGGATTCCCTCATCACATCTTGCATGAGCGGCCCTTAGAGTTGAAGAAACCCCGAGCTTTAATTCCCGGAGAGAAATTTTACGTTTCAGAATGAAGAGTTGGAAGGGATCTCTAGAGGTCATCTAGCCCAACCCCAACCCCTTGGCCTGGGCGGTAGACTTCTCTGGTTTCAGACAAATGGCTGTCCAGCCTTTTTGTTTAGTGGCAACTTTAAGTTGAAATTAGGATGGGCTTAAACCTGTTCCTCAAACCAGGCAATTTCAAGATAAGGGTGGACTTCAACTCCCAGAATTCCCCAGCCAGCACGGCTGGCTGGGGAATTCTGGGAATTGAAGTCCCGTCCCCCCATCTTGAAGTTGCCAAGATCCAGAAACATCAGCGTACGTTAACCTCAACTGATTAATGAAGCAGCAGGCTTTAGACAGGATTGAGGGTTGCTGTCATGCCCCGGGTGGACTGACTCTGAGGGAGAGGAGGAACAGCGGACCGAGAGTGGAAGTGTGGCTCTGGAGGTTGTGGAGGAGGCTGGGGAAGGGCAGAGGCCGGCTGGGCAGTCAGAGGAGGACCCAGGCCCATCCCCTCTCCATCCTAGGGCACGCAGGGAGGAGAGGATAAGGGAGAGACGTGGTCTACTGGGGAGGAGAGGGCCTTGATCCTCTTCATGGGCTGCAGCTGTGACAACTGGATAAGAGGACGGACATGCATAAGGGCGAGTGCTGGAAACAAAGCGTGGAAATATCTCTAGTTTGTTGTTCCTCTTTGTGTTTAGCGTCCTTCCCAGTGTGTGTTCTGATATCTGTGGACGTCTTCCAGCCCTTTTCTTGCCTGGTTTGTGTTGTTTTTTTACTCTTTATAATTTAAATGCCATTTCCCCCTCCTCGGAACTGTTTGGGAGTTGTTGTTTTTTGTCTCTGGTCAAGGATATTTGGAGCTTGGAAGCAAAGTGAAGGAATAAAAGGGGCTTCACCTGTTTTTTTTTTTTTTGACTGTGTTTATTTTGTATCCAACTCTGGGTCATCACAGTTGCTGAGTCGGCTTGGCTTTAAAGGGCAAAGGAGTCAAAAAAAAAAGTCAAGGGGCCCAACACCATGCAACCATTTTTAAAAGAAAGAGGCAGGGCTTTTCTCATAGTGACGGCGGCATCTTAGCTATACTGACGCTTGTTAAGGCCTCCCGTAATTGAGGAGAAATCTTCTTTGTACACGTTAAAAGCCGTGATGGCGAACCTATGCCATGCGTGCCACAGGCGGCATGCGGAGCCATTTGTGCGGGCACGCGAGCCCCAGCCAAACTTACCTCCACTGCGCATGCGCGCGCCTCCCCAGCTGATTTTCAGCCCATTTGAGGCCTTTTTTCAGCCTGAGGCTTGAGGGAAGCTTCTGCAGCCACTGGAGGCCAAAAAACGGCCTTCCAGAAATACAGGAAGTGCCTGTTTTCAGCCTCCAGAGGGCCGCTGGAGCCTGGGGGAGGTCCTTTCGAGAGCTCGAGGGAAGCCTCTGCAGCCTTTGGAGGCCGAAAATCGGGCCCGTTTCATCACTTCTGATATTTCCAGAAATACAGGAAGTGACAAAACATGCTTTCGGCAGACCACAACACACCAAAAAGGTTCTCCATCACTGCGTTAAAGTGACTAAACAAAAGTTACCTAAAGGTGGAAAACCACCTGGTGGCACAAAAAGTCATTGGGGATTGGAGGGCGGGGCAGGACGGGGGAAAAAAGGGGGCACTTTTTTTATTCAAATAAAATAAAACTGGCAATTTTCAACACTTTTAGAGGTTTCCTTCAAGGTACGACCGCAAATTTTGAGCCCCAAATTTCCGTTTCCAAGCCACTTAAGTGAATGTTGACTC